TCTCTCTCTCCTCTCTCTCTCAGAAATAAATAAAACATTAAAAAAATTTTTTTAAAGTTCCCAGAAATAAATGAGAGTATTTCCACCTGTATCAAGACGGTAGAGCCATTTCTCATGTGCTCAAGAAATCCATCCCAAAACCTTGATTAACCTTTCCTTACACTAAGTACCAACAGGTATTTCTGAAAGAGGCTGTGGAAATGGACACTAATTACTAAAATGCTGATTCAGGAGCAGAGCTGCTGAGTCACAGGGGATCACCGGTCTAGGAGATATTTATGATTTTGTCAGTTTTTTTCCTCAGGCTTGGTGGAAACTCCATCCTGGGAAATAGTCGGGCACATTGTCTCCCAGATGCAGAGTTTTCAGCCTGGCTGCTGAGCTCTGGGGCTGTTCTCAGGCTCCCAGTTTCCACCACTGAAGAACTGTCACCTTCACATCCTTCTCAATTGCTATCCCTTCTTGCTTCTTGAAACTATGGGGAGATCATTTTCACTCTTCTAAAGTACATATTTTACTTTACAACTTTTTAAAAGTACTTATTTCTTTATAAAAGTGTGTATGTATTTTTTTAATGTTTTTTTTTATTTATTTCTAGGAGAGAGAGAGAGAGAGAGAGAGACAGCGTGAGCAGGGGAGGGTCAGAGAGAGAGGGAGTCACAGACTGAAACAGGCTCCAGGCTCTTAGCTGGAATCAGCACAGAGCCCGACGCGGGGCTCGAACCCACGAACCGCGAGATCATGACCTAAGCGAAAGTCGGACGCTTAACTGACTAAGCCACCCAGGCGCCCCAAAGTGTGTATGTATTTAATCTCTACACCCAACACAGGCTTGAACTCATGACCCCAAGATCAAGAGTTGTATGCCCCTCTGAGCCAGCCAGGTGCCCCTACTTTAGAGCTTTTTAAAAACTGTTTATTTATTTTTGGGAGGTAAGGGAAAGGCAGAGAAAGAGAGAGACAGAGGATCCAAAGTGGGCTCTGTGCTGACAGCAGAGAGCCCTTATGCGGCACTTGACCCATGAACGACTAGTTCATGACCTAAGTTGAAGTCTCATGCCCAAACAACTGAGCCACCCAGGTGCCCCTAGGACCTTTTGTAATGAGAGCCTATCTGTAGTAAATTCTTTCAGTTTTTGTATCTGAAAATGTTGTTTAATCACCCATATTCTTGAAAGATGGTTGTACTGGGTATATGGTTCTAGGCTGACAGTTATATTTTCTCATCAATTTGAGGATACCCTTCTATTGTTTACTGACTTCCATTTTTGGCCTTGAGAAATTAGCTCTCAGTCTCATGATTATTTTGTTGTAAAAGGTAGATGTATTCATTTCCAAGGGTTGCTGTAAACAAATTGCCACAAACTGAGTGACTTAAAATAATAGAAATGTATTTTCTCACAGTTTCTGAACCTAAGATCAATGAGGTGGGCAAGGTGGGTTTCTTTTGGAGGCTCTGAGGAACAATCCATTTCATGTGTCTCTCCTACCTTCTGCTGGTTACCAACTATCCTTGGTGCCCTTTCGGCTTATAGATGTGCGGCTTCATATCCCACCATCATACGGTGTTTTCCATGTGTGTCTGTGTCTTCACATGGTGTGTGTGTGTGCATGTGTGTGTGTGCGCGCGTGCACCTCAGTTTTCTCCTATAAGAACCCCAGTGATTGGATTAGGACCCATCCTAATCCAATATGATCTCATCTTAACTAATTACATTTGCAAAGATCCTATTTTCAAATAAGGTCACATTCTGAGTTTCCTTGTGGACATGAATTTGCAAGGGGTGAGGGTTATATGTATTTTCTATGTGATTAATTCCAAAGTTTTCTCTTTCCTCTTGGCATTCTTTTGTGTCTATAAAGAGATTTTCTTTTCTTTTCTTTTGTAAGGATTTTATTTTTAAGAAATCTCCACATCCAATGTGGGGCTTGAACTCACAACCTGGAGATCAAGAGTCACATCCTCCACGTACTTAACCAGCCAGGTATGCCGAGATTTTACTTTCTTTAGGGGCACCTGGGTGGCTCAGTTGGTTGAGTGTCCAACTTCAGCTCAGAGCATGACCTTGCAGTTCATAAGTTTGAGCCCTGTGTTGGGCTCTGTGCTGACAGCTCAGAGCCTGGAGCCTAGTTCAGATTCTATGCCTCCCTCTCTCTACTCTGACCCTCCTCTCACATTCTCTCTCTCTCAAAAATAAATACACATTTAGAAATTCTTTTAAAAAGATTTTACTTCATTTATTTCACATGGGATTCATTGGCATTCCTGAATCCAAGAATTGGGATATTTCCTCTGTTTTGGAAAATTCTCAGTAATTATCTTTCTGAATATTGGTTCTCTCTCATTTCTTTCCATTTTTATCTTTCTTCTTTTTTTTAACTTTTTTTTTAAATTTGTGTTACTTTTATTTTTTTAAATTTACATCCAAGTTAGTTAGCATACAGTGTAACAATGATGTCAGGAGTAGATTCCTTAATGTCCCTTAAGCATTTAGCCCACCCTCCCTCCCATAAGCCCTCCAGTGACCCTCTGTTTGTCCTCCATATTTAAGAGACCTTTATGTTTTGTCCCCCTCCCATTTTTATATTGTTTTTGCTTCTCTTCCCTTATGTTCATCTGTTTTGTATCCTAAAGTCCTCATATGAGTGATGTCCTATGATATTTGTCTTTCTCTGACTGACTAATTTCGCTTAGCATAATACCCTCTGGTTCCATCCACATAGTTGCAAATGGCAAGATTTCATTCTGATTGCTGAGTAATACTCCATTGTATATATCTCATATCTTCTTTATCCATTCATCCATCGATGGGCATTCGGGCTCTTTCCATACTTCGGCTATTGTTGATAGTGCTGCTATAAACTTTGGGGTGCATGTGCCCCTTTGGAACAGCACACCTGTATCCCTTGGATAAATACTTAGTAGTGCAATTGCTGGGTTGTAGGTTAGTTCTATTTTTAATTTTTTAAGGAAACTCCATAATGTTTCCAGAGTGGCTGCACCAGTCTGTGTTCCCACCAGCAGTGCAAGAGATTTTCTTTCTCCACATCCTCGTCAACATCTGTTGTTGCCTGAGTTGTTAATGTTATCCATTCTGATGGATGTGAGGTGGTATCTCGCGTGCTTTTGACTTGTGTTTCCCTGGTGATGAGTGATGTTGAGCATTTTTTCATGTGTTGGTTGGCCATCTGGGTGTCCTCTTTGGAGAAGTGTCTATTCATGTCTTTTGCCCATTTCTTCCCTGGATTATTTGTTTTTTGGGTGTTGAGTTTGATAAGTTCTTTATAGATTTTGGATACTAACCCTTTATCTGATATATCATTTGCAAATATCTTTTCCCATTCCGTCGGTTGCCTTTTAGTCTTGCTGACTGTTTCCTTCGCTGTGCAGAAGCTTTTTATTTTAATGAATTCCCAATAGTTCATTTTTGCTTTTGTTTCCCTTGCCTCTGGAGACATATTGAGTAAGAAGTTGCTGCGGCCAAAGTCAAAGAGGTTTTTGCCTGCTTTCTCCTCAAGGATTTTGATGGCTTCCTGTCTTATATTTAGGTCTTTCATCCATTTTTAGTTTATTTTGGCATATGGTATAAGAAAAGTGGTCCAGATTCATTTTTCTGCATGTGGCTGTCCAGTTTTCCCAGCACCACTTGCTGAAGAGATTGTCTTTATTCCATTGGATATTCTTTCCTGCTTTGTCAAAAGAGTTGGCCATACATTTGTGGGTCCATTTCTGGATTCTCTATTTTGTTCTGTTGATCTGAGTGTCAGTTTTTGTGCCAGTATTTTTTCTTCCTTCTGAAATGTCAATTGGATACTTTGTTTCTTTTTTACTCTATTCTCTGTCTCTTTCAAACCCTCTCTTTCATGTTTTCTATTTGCCCCATAAATTCTGTTCAATTTCTTCATATCTAATTTCTAGTCTATTAATGCTCTATTTAGCTGTGTTTAATCTGTTTGATTCACCTAGTGAGTTTCTAATATCAATTATTATGTCTTTTATTAATGAAAGTTCCATTTGGCGGGTGCCCGGCTGGCTTTGTCAGTGGAGTGTGTGACTCTCGATCTCAAGGTTGGGAGTTTTGAGCTCCATGTTGGGTGTAGATTGCTTTTAAATAAAGTCTTTTGTAAAAAGTTATTTTATTTTAAAGATGTATTTATTTATTTGGGGGGGGGGCAGAGAGAGAGGAAAAGAGAATCTTAAGTAGGCTCCTTGCTGTCACCAGTTGATTTTCATGAACCCTGTGAGATGATGACCTGGGCTGAAATCAAGAGCAACCAACTGAGCCACCTAGGCACCCCTCCTCCCAGAAGGTTCTATTTGGTTCTTTTTTTTTTTTTTTAAATGTTTATTTATTTTTGAGACAGAGACAGAGCACAAACTGGGGAGGGGCAGAGAGAGAGGGAGACACAGAATCTGAAACAGGCTCCAGGCTCTGAGCTGTCAGCACAGAGCCTGATGTGGGGCTCAAACCCAGGGACCACGAGATCATGACCTGAGCTGAAGTCGGACGCTTAGCTGACTGAGCCACCCAGGCGCCCCTATTTGGTTCTTTTTCAACGATGCCTGATCATTTTTGATAGTCTCTTGCTTCCTGTTTATATTTTTTCTCCTTTTATCTATGTAAATGTGTTAAACACATTTAATTTTTATTCTGTGTCTGCTAATTCTAATAACTGAAATTTCTGCAAGTCTGGTATTGCAGCTTCTCGTTTCTGCTATTTCTATCTCACAGTGGCTTTCTCCTTGTGTGTGTGTATGTGTGTGTGTGTGTGTGTGTGTGTGTGTGTGTGTGTTTGGGGGTGGGGGACTTGCTGTTTGATTTTGAAATATTTTATTGAGAACTCTTCTCCTTGGAAACTTGTGATAACTCTTTAAAGTGTTCAGAGGTGCCTGGGTGGCTCAGTCGATTAAGCCTCCAACTTCAGCTCAGGTCATGACCTTGCAATAAGAGAACTGCTTCATTCTCCCCTACATTTTGAGCAGAGGGTTTACTGGTTGCCAGATTTTATTTTGAATTATATCTCCCTAGAAGTTGCAGTTAAGATCAGCTGAAGTTGCATTCATATGAAGGCTGGACAGGGGCTGGGATGCTGCTTCCGTGGTAGTTCGCTCGTAAGGCTATTGGCAGAAGGCCCCATGTCCTTACTGGCTGTTCCTAGGAAGACTCAGTTTCTTACCATGTGACCCTCTCCATACAGCAACTTTGATGTCCTCATGGCCGACAGCTGGCTTCTCACAGAGTGAGTGACCTGAGGGAACATGAAGGATAAAAGAATACCTTTTGGGACCTAGTCTTGGGAGGGACATGACATCATTTCTGCCATGTATTTTTTAAAATGTTTAATGTTTTACTTATTTTTGAGAGGGAGGGAGGGGCAGAGAGAGAGAGAGGGAAACACAGAATCTGAAGCAGGCTCCAGGCTCCGAGCTGTCAGCACAGAGCCTGACTCAGGGCTCGAACCCACAAACCGTGAGATCATGACCTGAGCCGAAACCAGATGCTCAACCAACTGAGCCACCCAGGTGCCCTACTTCTGCCATATTCTATTTATTGGTGGAAACAAGTCACTAAATCCAGTCCGCATTCAAGGGGAGAGGGATTAAGCCCCCTTCTTTTTTAAAAAAATATTTGTTTGAGAGAAAGGGCATCTGGGGAAGGACAGAGAGAGAGAGCGAGAGAGAGAGCAAGCGAGAGAGCGAGATAATAATGTCAAGACCTGAGCTGAAGTCAGATACTGAACTGACTGAGCCACCCAGCCCTTAAGACCCTTCTTAAGGGAAGTATCAAGTAATTTATGGACATATTTCAAAATCATGAAATATAACAAGACATGCCAACAAGCTGGTGAATTGGTGTCACCAATTCAAAAAGTATCACGTAAGTTTCTGCGCAAGAAAACTAGAATTGCCCTGAAATCTTGCAGCTTTTATATGAAGTAACTTGAGGTTTTCCCAAATGTGACAACAGCCCTACAAATTTCCACGGTGTAACCGATGACAATTTGGCCAGATGAAAGAAACATTCCCAAACTAGCATTTGAACGATTTCTGATTGATTGAACTATTTTTCAATCAATCATGCTGGAGAAAAGATTATTTTTCTGTTCTCTCTGTAGAGAATATTCCAAAATTATTATAGGGTTGGTGTGGGAGAAATGGGTGAAGGTGGTCACAGGTACAAACTGCCGATAATAAAACAAATAAGTTAAGGGAATGATATTTAAAGCATGATGACTATAGTTAACAATGTTGTATTGTATTTTTTGAAGTTGCTAAGAGTAGATCTTAAAATTTCTCATCATAAGGGAACCTGGGTGGTTCAACTCCTAATTTCAGCTCAGGTCATGATCTCATGGTTCATTAGTTTGAGCCCCAAGTGGGGCTCTGCACGGATAATGTGGAGGCTGCTTGGGATTCTCTGTCTCCCCCTCTCTCTTCCCCTTCCCCACTTTCTCTCTCTCTCTCTCTCTCTCAAAAACAATAAATAAATAAACACTAAAAAGAAAGTTCTCATCACAAGAAAAAAATTGTAACTCTGTGTGGTTATGGATGTTAACTAGATTTATTGTGGTGATCATTTCATAATATATACAAATATTGAATCACTATGTTATACACCTGAAACTAATATATGTCAATTATATCTTACACAAGAATAGAAAAATTATAATGTTCTGCACTATTAAGGTTTTTTTTAAAATTTTTTAAATGTTTATTTATTTTTGAGACAGAGAGAGACAGAGCATGAGCAGAGGAAGGGCAGAGAGAGAGGGAGACACAGAATCTGAAACAGGCTCCAGGCTCAGAGCTGTCAGCACAGAACTTGATGGAGAGTTTGAACCCATGAACCGCGAGATCATGACTTGAGCTGAAGTCAGACAACTGACTGAGCCACCCAGGTGCCCCTAAAGTTTTTTAAATTTTTTTCAAATGTTTATTTATTTTGAGAGAGAGAGAGAGAGAGAGAGAGCTAGCAAGAGCAGGCGAGGGGCAGAGAGAGAGGGAGAGAAAGAATCCCAAGCAGGCTCCACATGGAGCCCGCCATGGGGCTCGATCCATAAACCAGGAGATCATGACCTGAGCTGAAGTCAAGAGTTGGGTGTTTAACGGACTGAGCCACCCAGGGACCCCTGCACTATTAAAGTTTTATTCCCAGCACACGGACACTCACAAAATCATTGTCATAGGAAGAGGTGGCCAAAAAGTATAGAGTGAAAAAAGCTGACAGGGTATTACAGAACTGTGCAAGGTTGTTAATTAATAAAAATATTGTATTATTTTCAGGATTCTGTGCTGAGCTCATGGGTGAGCAGCCAGTGCAGTTTCATGGGACAGAAGGGCCCTTCAATCAAGGCCTGAGGCTCTGCAGTCACCGTCTTCAAAGTCTTCCTAATTTTATCTGTGAATCGGTGTTTTGCTGGTGAGGCCCCACGACACAATGGGATATACAGCAGAGACTGCATGGGTCTACTCTTGCTGCCTTTTTATCTCCTCGGGATGGGCCCTAAGCTGCCTGCTCCCCTGTGCCCTGGCACCCAGCCTCTTCCTCTCTGCTCTGGTGACCCCTGCCACCCTCCACTTAGGTAGGGGTGCAGGTACAGGATGGGGCCGGCTGGGTCAGAGAGGGTCTGGTTGAACTCGTGTGCCCTGTAGCCTCTCTGAGCAGGGCATGGCAGGTGGCCATCCCACCATTTAGTGGCCAGCCCATCAGGGGCAAGCCTGTCACCTTCCCCTGATCCAGGCACTGTCCCGGGGCACTGAGGTTGCAATACCCTGGAGGGTTGCCCTCTGCCTGTGGGTTGAGCATGGAAAGGGAGGCTACCTGGCTTGCCCTCCCTGCCCCAGTAATGTCAGCTGGCTGAAGAGGGAACCAGCAGCCAGCCATCAGGCCCATGTGCCCTCGCCACTGGAGTCCAGGGCAGTCCCTGCCTCACATGAGACATGGCACTGGATCCTCCAGTAGCCCCACGCCCAAAGATGCTCTCGCTGGCCTGCTCTGTGCCTAGGGGACCCCTCTTCATCCTTCCAACCTTCCTGGGTCTGGCCTGTACCCATCTCTCCGGCTGGATATAGAAATTGTGTCCTTTCAGCGACTGAACATTGCAGTTAAGTCTTCTGGTATTTCCATTCAAGACGGACATAGCCCGATATGAAGACAATCTGTAACATTCATGATCACGATTTAAGACTTTTTTCTTATTCAGAACATTAAATAGCAAACAGGAAACACCCCCAAGAGAGACTGCAAAAGAAGGGGAAAAGCTTTGTATTTTGGTACCTTTAAACAGCATTTTCCTTTCCTGCTTTTGAACCGGGGACCCCGCATTTTCAGTTTGCACTGGGTTCCGCAAATCGTCAGCTTTGTTCTGTTTGTAATTTCCTGTGGTTCGTTTTCTCACCCTACAGAAATGCTCACTTTTCCACTTAATTTTGCACTCCTTTTCAAAGAGACTCCCCAGGACGGTAAAAGCTTCAACCACCTCCTGCATAAGGCGCACCCTCCGCGGCACCCCCAATATCGACCTTATCTTGAGCGAACCCATCGCGGATTAATATTTATTTTCCTCTTACACTTTTTCATCCAGTAATCCCGCAGAGCTCTTAAAATCAATGGGAGGGGGAAAATTCCTCGCAAGGGAGTATTTCAAAAAAGAAAGGAAATCGTTGGCACCCGAGGGGGAGCCGGAAACCGGCAGGGGGAAGTTGGTTAGGGGTCCGGGCCCTGGGGAGGGAGCCCCTGAGCAGGCGCTCGAAGCCGGGCCTGGGCTTGGGCGCGTCCCCTTTAAGGGGCGGGCCGTGGGCGGGGCCTGGCGGCGGCCCGCCCTCCCAGACTGCCCCGCGCGCGCCGGCAGTTTGGCCACGTCCCTGGCCACGTCGCGCCCGCTCTCGCCATCTTCGCCGCTTCCTCTCAGGGGCCGCTGCTGCCGCCTGAGCCGCCGAGCCCCGGGGCCGCCGCGCCGACCGCCGCCGCCATGAACATCTTCCGGCTGACCGGGGACCTGTCCCACCTGGCGGCTATTGTCATCCTGCTGCTGAAGATCTGGAAGACGCGCTCCTGCGCCGGTGAGCGGCGGGCGACGTCCCGGAGAGGCTCGGGCGCCAGGCCGGGTCGCCCTGAGGACCCGTCGACCTCGACCGCCCCGCGGCTCGCGGGCCTGCGGCGCCCGACACACCCCCTCGACCGGCCCGGCGGGCGCCCGGACCCGGGGCGGGGGGGAACCCTGCGGTCCCTCGGGGTGGACGCTCGGGCCGGGCGGGGTGTCGCGGCGCTGGGCCCCGCTCGGCGCTGGGTCGGCTCCCGAACTTGAGCTGTCGGGGCGGAGGAGGCGCCAGCCGGACTGCGCTGGGCCCCATTCTGTCGGAAAAGTTTGGATGGGGCGGGGGCCAGGGGAGTCCGGCTGGCTCGCACCCCCCTCCTCCGCCTACGGCTTTAATGGGTGCTGCTCCGCGCCGGGGGGGTGCGGGGGGTCTGGAGGTGCGGGGAGCCCGCGAATCAATGGGACGGGAGGGAGGAGGATGGGCAGGACCGCGGCCCGCTCGGCCTGACGTGGCAGCCAGGCCAGCCCGGGAGGTGGAGCGGGCGCGGGGAGGTCACCCCGCTCCCCATCCTGCGCCTTCGACGACTGGCCTTTAGGTTAGGGTGTCGGGTCAGACCTGTCCCTAGAGTGTGGTGGGCTTCACCCCAGCTCTGGGGTCCAGGATCACACACGGGGTGTGAGGAGGTCTCTTAAGTGAATTTCTTGGGGACCGTCAGTGCTGCTTTGAGAAACGAACTAGTTTGTGAAACTCCCGAGTGCCTCCATCTAATAATGGGTTCTCTTAAACCTGCGGCGCCGGGGACCGCCGAGGTCTCATGTGGCTCATGTGGTCTCCTGAAGTCCTCACTCCACGTCACCAGTGAGTTGGCGACTCCCTCCTCTGGAGTACACATTTCATGCATGCATTGCTGGGAGGCGGGGAGATAGATCTTTCCCAGATCATAGCTGTGAAGTTTTACATCGCATCAACCCTACAAGCTGAAGAGCCGTGAATTTTTAAGTGCTGTCTTAAAACGCAGTGCCTTGCAACTTCTTTTTGATGCCATGGCCTCAGTGGTGAAATATATTTTGAGCTCAAGAGCTGAATTTTTGCAGAGGCAGTAAAAGATGGGAGCCCTAAAGGACCTGGGTGGCCGAGATCCCCTTTACCTGATTGCTTTCTGAAGGTTTCTACATCTAGAGTGACACCCCGCATCTTTGCTGTCTTCAGGCGTCACCTATCTCCCCAGAACATACCTGAGATGGAGGAAGTAAGCAAAAGCACAAGAGACCTTTGAGCAATTAAAATGGATATTACAAAGTCCATGTGCTGAAACCAGTGCTGCGTGGCTCAGAGGCCATCTCTACTCTCGTACCTATTCTGAGAGGTTCAGTTGTATGATTTCTAGTTAAAGCAAAGTAGTTGCAGCAGTTGTGATAGCTGGCATTTAAGCACTTGCTGTGCAGAAGGTAGGGCGCTACCTGCTTTCTATAGCTTATCCCACCTAGTCATTCATCTTAAGAGCGAAGTGCTATTGTCCTCAAGTGCTATTGTCCTCAGTCTGTGGAGGAGGGAACTGAGTCTTAAGGGAGATGAGGAAATGAGTGGTAGAGGCAGGACTGAAGCACAAGCAGTTTCACAGTTAAGGATTCTGAGTCAATGTCCCTCTGTTTTGCCCTAAGTAAATTTAGTTTAAACGTTTGATGCCAGACTGGTAGGTTTGGCCATTTTTTTGTTGCACTCAGGAAATTTTTTTCTCCTGCTTTGTTGAAATATGATTGACATAGAACATTGTATTCATTCTAGGTGTGCACCATAGCGATTTGATATCTATCTATTGTGAGGTGGTCATCGCAATAAGCTTAGTTAATTAACATCCATCACCCCACATAGTTAACTGTTTTTTTCCTTGTGATCAGAACTTTTAAGATCTACTCTCCTATCAACTTTCAAATATACAATACAGTGTTATTAACTACAGTCATTGTGCTATACCTTCATCCCCAGGACTTATTGGAAGTTTGTACCTGTACCCATTTCACCCACCCCTCACTCTGATAATGTTACTTTTAATCTTGATTTTTGCTCCAAAAGTTTTGTATGAGTCTCTTCATCTCTCACATATTTCTCAGAAGTCTGTTTTATGTCTTATTTATTTATTTATTTTTTAATATTTTATTTATTTCTAGGAGAGAGAGAGAGACAGTGTGAGCAGGGGAGGGTCAGAGAGAGAGGGTGTCACAGACTGAAACAGGCTCCAGGCTCTGAGCTGGCAGTCAGCACAGAGCCCGACGCGGGGCTCGAACCCACGAACCGCGAGATCATGACCTAAGCGAAAGTCGGACACTTAACCGACTAAGCCACCCAGGCGCCCCTTATGTCTTATTTTAGTATATGTGCTGCTGAAGCGAGCACAGAAGCCTGTTTATGTCAAGTTCTTAAGTGCTGAGATGTGTTGTCTCTTAAATATATATCTAAACTAAGGTATTGAGGAGAAGTTAGTGCACCTCCAGGTATAGATTTTTTTTTAATGTTTATTTTTTGAGAGAGAGAGCGAGAGAGAGAGCGAGCATAAGCAGGGGAGGGGCAGAGAAAAAGAGAGAATCCCAAGCAGGCTCCACAGTGTCAACACAGAGCCAGCCGTGGGCCTCGAACTCACAGAACGTGAGCTTATGACCTGAGCTGAAATCAAGAGTCAGATGCTTAATCAACTGAGCCACCCAGGCCCCCAGATATAGAATTCTTAAGGAAAGCTTGAGTAATACAGAGAAAGTGAAGATGATTTGCTGTTTTGTTTGTTTTTTTAATATTCACTCTTTTCATTTGGGAGATTTAGGAGCATTTATGAAAATAGAGAAAATATTTCCGCCAAAATAATGAAGAAGATAAGTAGTTAAGTTCATGTGTGTTTGTCAAGTATTCCTACAGTTTAATGCCCTAGTTTTAGGGCATTATTAAGCTTCTCTTTTTCGGCCTCAGGATCATTTTAGTTCTTATACATGAGATTTCCTGGCCTTTTAAAAATCAAAATCACCAAGATCATTTATTTAGAGGTAAGTGCTAAATTTGACTAGCTCCTTTGTTTGTTTTTCCATTCTAAATTATGAAAGTTGTTTAGAGGCTTTTGAAAGAGTAAGAATTTGATATGAGTTTCTCAAATAACTGCAGTAAGAGACATGTACATTCAGATTGTGTTTCTCGCTTTGAAAATACTGGTATTGGGGCTCATTTTTGGGATTTTGGCACATATTGTGAACATGCCTGCAGCCAGAACCATGGGACTTATCCCCCTTAGAGTAAGGGCTGAGACAGGTTAGCGAGGAAGCTGGAGATTCTGTTTTCCTGACCATCTAATGTGAGAATGAGCACCTTAAAGGGCCTGTATTCCAGGAGGGGCAGGAGAGCTGATCTCTGTGTAGCTGTGTTAAAATGGCAGTTGTCTGCCGTTGTCATTACAGAGGGGTGCTCGAAGGAAATGTGACTTTCTCATATTCTTGAACTGTCATTATAACCTGATCCACAACATGCTGGACCTATCACTAGCCTTGTCCATCCTTGTCCTAAACGCGGACCTGGATAGCCTTGGGAGAACAAGCCTTGGATTGTAGATGAAGAACTTCCTAGCAACATCTTCCTGTAGGCTGGCTGATCGTTATTAATAGTGCTGTATCTATTGTGCTTAAATTACTGGGGGAGTTCTCAGATCCATGACTCCCAGCCACCCTTTCCTAGTCTCTCCTCCGCTTCCCCCTCCCCCCCCATCTACTGCTTTGATTGTTGTTAGCTTTTGTTATGTAGGTTGTGTTGTAGACTTTTTATCATCCCAAACATTACAGGAGCATACAATGTCCCAGCGTTTCTCATCATTGGATAGCTTATAATTTTGAAGTACAGAATCTTCATCTTTTATTGTGGTCATTGAGTACTTCAGGAAGCTTTTGTATTACATTCCTAGCTCCCTCTTTGTAGTAGCTGTCACCTCTGTTCTTTTTTTTTTTTTTTTTAATATTTTTATTTATTTCTAGGAGAGAGAGAGACAGCGTGAGCAGGGGAGGGTCAGAGAGAGAGGGAGATACAGACTCTGAAATAGGCTCCAGGCTCTGAGCTGGCAGTCAGCACAGAGCCCGACGCGGGGCTCGAACCCACAAACCACGAGATCATGACCTAAGTGAAAGTCAGACGCTTAACCGACTAAGCCACCCAGGCGCCCCACCTCTGTTCTTTTGAGTGCCAGTCTGTTGACTAATCATTGCTCTCAAACATCTGATGACCACCCACTGTGTGCAAGGCACTGGGGACACAATTCAGAGTAGCAGCTTTCAAAGTCTCTGCTGTCAAGACAGTTGCAATGTAGTTGAAATAATAAGACCTATATAAAAAGATAAAAGTACAGGATATTAAATATTAAACTATGTAAACAGTAACAGTACCTGGGTGGCTCAGTCATTTAAGCAGCTGACTCTTGATCTTGGCTCAGGTCATGATCTCACAGTTCATGAGATCAAGCCCTGTCTCTGGCTCTGCACTGACAGCACAGAGCCTGCTTGGGATTTTCTGTCTTCCCCTCTCTCTGCCCCTCCCCTGCTGTCTCACTCTCTCTCTCTGTCTCTCTAAATAAATAAACATTAAAAAAAATAAAAATAAACCACTTAGACAGTAAATCCTATAGGTGTGAAGGTCTAGAAGGATCCCTTGACTTTCTGGCAAGGAATATGTAAGACGTATGTGAATAAAAATTCTGAAACTTTCCTGAGGGACATAGAGGATGACCTGAGTGTATGTTCATACTGTGGTCCTGGATAGCACCAGGCAGGCTGGTAAGGAAGCAAGATGATTCATCTCCCCAAATTAATTTACTGATTCAGAATATCATCAAAGCTAAATGACAGTAAACTGAGAGAAGTAATCTGCAATATATGTAAGTGACAAAAAGTTAATATAAATAATAAAACATTCCTACAAATTAAAAAAAAGATAGAAAAATAGGAGAAGTTGGCAGTTCACAGAAGAATAGCAGAAGGCCCATTAAGCACGAAAGAATGCCC